TGTCAAACGTAATGCAAAGAACAAACAACAAACAGCTAACATCATACAACAAACAACGGCAGACAGTTGTCACAATTGCGGCCATTAAGACGCTGCCAAATTGCTGACCATGTCCGAAAAGTCAAAGGGACAAATCTTTTTAATAACCGTGCGTGTGCGCCATGTGTGCAGAATAGTGGCCACGGATCGGGATAGAAATCGGGATCGGGATTGGAGGCATCTGGATGTGCCAGTTAATAAAGACATAATGGCATAGATTTATTTTTTATGGGCCCCAATTTGAGGTTGATATTATTATCGCTGTATTTTGTTGCCTTGTTTTCGTGGCCATTTAGGCCATGTGATGGGTGGGCTGTTGATGGTTATTTGGCAAATCACCTGCGCTTCCTTACAAGCTTCCTGCTCAGCAAACTTAATACTTCCTTAGGCAAAAATGTAAAACAAGAAGGCATCAAAGTCCACATCCACCCACGTACACATTTAGAGCGAAAGACGGACAAATAGCAGGCTAAATTTCAGCTCCTTCGAGTCCTTCCAAAATGAACTACGCACACACACAGAGAGAGGGGAGAGGGAGGGACCGGGGCGTATTACATATAATTTTGAAGGAGGCCTCATCCTGCCAGGTCTGCACACCTGAATGGTTAGCTACCTGGCTAACAAGCCGTCTTGTCCTGTGCTGTCCTGTTCTGTGTGGCTCCGTGTTCTGTTCCGTGCTCTGTGCTCCATATTGTACTTAATTTTTTCACCGACGCCGGCTCTGAAGTGCCTTTTTCAATTTCCCCAGAGGCGCTTCCGATCAAACAGGAAGTGCTTAAGTTCAAACTGAAGTAAAAGTGCGCTCGGAACCACCCCTTCGCCCAACCGCCACTTCGTATATCAGCGAGCAACAGTCAGTCAGGACTCTTCAAAGGAGGCATCATCGCAGGACCTGCCAAGCGGAATCTGGAGTGCGCTACACAGAACAACGAGTTTAATGAAACCTAGATCTTACTCAATCCACTCGAAATAGTTACTTTTTTATGTGTATTTAAATATTCAAAGATATTAAGACAAACTCTCTTATACTGCAGATAAAGAGATGATGGTAGATCGCTTTTCTCAGCAACAGATATGCCCGCACTGCACTTTTCAGTACCTTGAATACCCTACGCACCCCGTCCCTCTTCGTACCTGTAACTTCATTATGGGGGCGTGTGCGCTACGCCATAAGGTATGCCATATGAACACAAAGGACAGACAAAGCTGGGGGTTGAAGAACATCATATTTCATGTGGCTAATAAACATAGCGCCGGAGTCCGCAATGCGGGAGTCGCCGAGTGAACTGCATAAATTTATTAATGAGTGGGAAATGAGGTATTCTGTCTGCGGGGGAGCAGCTCCAAGGCGGAACGGGTGGTGGCTTAGCCCCAAGGCCACAGGACTGACAACTAAGCCTCCGTAGCCGCCACCGTCACCGCCACCGCTGCCGATGGCGAGGACCTGGAGTTTGCGGAAAACAATAAGCCGGGAATTTCGGGGCGGCACCGCCACCAGGATACACGGATAGGCTGATTTACGTACCAGCAAAAAGTCGTGCGGGATCAGGAGTCAGATGCCGGGATGGCAAATTGAAAGCACACGAAGGCAGCAATTTTTCCTGCCTTTGCTGCTGGGGTGAATGCTAACCAACTCCTGTGATTGATAAATATTTAAAGCGCAGCAACAAAGCGAAATAATTGAAATAAGTGAGGGAGGGTTGTGACTTTTACACCGAGGGTGGCTGCGTGTGGGCCGAGATGTCCTGGCGCGTCCTGGCTCGTCCTGCGATGCCCAAACCTGCCCTGCCCTGCCAATTGTGGCAACAACAAGCCAGGATGCTTGTTAACCTCACGCCAAGTCCTTTCTCCCCGAGACGTTGCTGCACCTTCATTCAATCTAATTTCGCTGCTTATCACTGGAGCTTAGCTGCTCTAAAATGCGAATGACATGCCAAAGTACTCGAGATTCAGCAGATTGTCGCGTCGCCCCGCACACACAGGATGCTCGGCAGGGATGCCAGGAGCAGCAGCGGCAGCAGCAGCAGCTTCGTGGAGATGGGAGACTGGCAAAAGGAGACCGAAGGGACCCAAAGACCCAGGACGAAGGACGAAGGACCCAGGACGAGCACTCAATGAGCATGCTTCACTGCAGGCTTTGTTTGCCGGATGAACAGCTGCTGGCTCGATTGTTGGCGTCACCTTCATTGCGCTTAAATGGCTCTCAGCTCTTCTATAAATATAAATATCTTCAGACCTGTTCCGCTTGTTAATGAGGCTAATGGACTGCTAGTAACATCAATGATTAATGCCAAAAAATCCAGGACTAGATTTTAAGAAAATATATGATATATGAGGTTAGGTAATTGGCATTTCTATTACACCGTTTTGAAAGAGTATTTCCAAGGCATCCTTTGGCTTCCTTTCGAAATCCTTCCTCCTGCTTTTTTCTTTGACTTGGCTGGCTGCGTGGCTCCGCGTTCTGTTTGAATAAAGTCGTCTGTCTGTGCCCACATAATGTCGCAATTCTGGCAGACATTGTTTGATTTGAATTCATTGTCGTGTAATTTGTGCCGCACGCCCCTTTATTTCTCTGCCGACCAACCCACTCGCTCTTTTTCACGCTCCTTACTTTAAGCATTTCGTGTCGCTAATTACACTGTAATTAAAATTGCTGTATTTACAGGCAAACACACACACACGCACACACACACGCGCTCATTCTGGGTGTGAGTGCGTGCAAATATTTTTTAAAAATACATATCACATGTATGTACACGGCTGCATTGCGCATACGCCGCGTGCACCGCTTGCACTTGCATGAGCTTTGTAAATTAAGCGTGAAGCGGGCCGCAGTGCGCTTTACAGCCGCCCATCTGGCTGTTTTTTGGGGGGGCGTGGCCGGCATTTAACACATTTCGCCCACGTCGATAACAAGCTGTAACTGTTTGGGTGGCCATTAGGCGAGCTGGGCAGCTCGATTCTTATTTTTTGCCCATTCGGAATGCGAGTGCGCCATGTTAATTGCTTTTCGCCGGCCGTCATGCATGCTGGGGCCCAAAATAGTCGCCTAAGAGTGCTTTTGCGTGTAGCTATTTTCAACTTAATTAATAGCAAACACACGGCCGGCCAATGCAACGCAAAACAGGGCCAGAAACAAATGCAGGTGGCAATAGGACTTTGGGTTTTGCACTTTGCGTTTGTACTACTTGTACAGTACAACTTTTAGTTTTCAGCCCGCACTTGATTTATGCGGCCAGCCGTATGTAGTTTATGCATAATGCAGGTCGTAATTAGTGAGGCAAATGTACAAAAACATATCGTGCCAGGGCTCAAGCTTTCGGGGCTTAGACCTCGGAATCGGAATCGGAATCTGAATCTGAATCGGAGGCCAGGACATCTAATATTTATTATCAGTAAATTACAATTGTCTTTTACATGCATGCGATTAATTCCATTGCTGCTGGTCATAAATATTTATTTACAACTCTTCCAAAAAGCTGTCATGGCCACAGAGCGTTTCGCTTTTGTCCTTCGATCTTTGTCTTCGGCTTATGGCCTCCAGCAATGTCCTGGATTTTTCAATGACATTTGCAGTTTTAATTAAACAACAAATAATAATTTTTGGTACCAACTGCCCCCAGCCAATCGAACTCCGCTTTATGCTGGCAAATGAAATATGATTGTACCGATATTGGAATTCCTTTCTTTTCCTTTCCCAGCAAAAGTGCATCAAACATGCTGCTTTAATTACTTTCGAGTCCAACAAACAGAGATTGCCAGAGGTTCCACAGTCCGGAAGAAATTAACTTTACCGCTTCTGGTTTAGTTGCGAGTGCATATATAAGGCAGTGCCGTATCCTATCCGCTAATGAAGCAAAATTATCAGCTCGCTACGTCGCCGTAGTCACTTTATGCCACCTTGCCACCTTGCCACCTTCAGCAGGTGTGCACGGGGCGATAATGATTGTAATTAATTTAATTTCGTTATATTTTCATCTAGACACAGCGAGTGGCGATCCTCCGCAATGCGCTAAATGCTTTCTGTTTTCTGTGACTTTTGCCAACGTCCCCTGCTGTTTACTGTTTTCAGTTCTTTTTCGCTACACAGCGGGAAATTAAAGAGAAGTTAATATAATTCAAAATTTATAGGCGAACTATTTATAACTATCTATAAAATTGTAATTAATGTTTAAATAATCAGTTTAAAAAATACCTCTGACATATTTTAATGAACCTTTTGTTGGGTAAATCATTGCCATTTTATTTCTCTCTGCACTTTATTCCTTTCGCCTCATTACGTTTCGTGTCTTGGTTGTTTTTGTGTTTTTTAAGGCATGCTTCATTTGCAGTTACTGTGCCACTGGCCTTCTGCAAAATCAGTTAACTCCCTTTGCTAATTACTAAAGTTTTATTTCGCTGGCTCCCCATTCCGCATCTGAAGACCCAATAATCTTGATGTTCGTGCTGGGAACGTATGCTCCATGTGCGGAGGGTTAATTAAAAGCCGTAAAACTTTCAGTCTTTCAGCCGGTGATTACATGGCACACAGGATATGCAGGACTTTTGGGCTTGGGAGACAGGCTCGTTTTGCAGGTGCATACGAGTATGGCCGCCACTTTGACAGTTGCAGTTCAAATGTCAAGTGCACTCCGCTGCAGATACAAAGGACCAAGGACCTGAGCAGTGAATGGGCCTTGTGATTGACAACAGGGGCATGTAAACGAGACTCCATCTTAAGTGCGCCGCAAGGACAACACTTTCCAGTTTCGATGGGCATTGGCGGCGGCCATGTCGATGAAGTGCACCATACTCTCTGCTCCATTCAACATTCACTATTCTCCGTGCCCCGTGCCCCGTGCTACATGCTCCATGATCCGGTTGCCAAAAGGTAAATATTTTTGCCTCGGTTATTACATTTTCGAGCACTACCAAGCCAACTAGCTCGTCGTCGGCCAGATTCAGAATCAATCAAGTGTTCAAATTTTAATCAGTTGCCCGTTCAAGTACTTCCATCCACTCTTAAAGTTTGATGCCACAGCCACAAGGAGACGCCACCGGAGCACCCTTTGTCCGCCAGTTACACCCGGATGCCCTCGAGCCACTATCACTGGCCGTCGGAAAACCGCAAATTGCACGTTGCCCTGGCCAAGGATATGCCGCAGCAAGTTCTGGCGAATTTTGATGTTTTTGCCAGATTGATGAACATACCCAAAAACAAGGTTTCGAGTGGAAGGAGCCGGAGCCGGAGCAGCAGCACCACCATGAGAAGGGAGCTGATGGCCAGGACAAGGACAAGCCACAAGGCGTCGCTGGAGGAAAACAGGAACCCAACTCCCGTTCGTTGTTGCTTCATTTTGTGTGCCCCTGTTGAAAAACAAATAACAATAATTATCTTGACAACAATTTCCGGTATTTGTGCTCAAGTCGAGCGCAACAAAAGGCAAAATGAAACTCAACTCAACTTCAGAGACGTGCCAAAGGATCCAAAGGAGCCAGGACGAGCGCTGGAGGGGCACAGGTTTGAATATTCTGCCGCACCCCTTGATTGCGGTAGAGTGGCAATACTGGAAGTGGGAGTGGAACTCGAAATGAGATTCGCAATGGGCCTGGCCATGGAAGTGGGTGGCATTGTGTGGTTGGGCGACTTGTAATCATTTGATGAGCTGGTACACTTGGCAGCTTCTTAACGATTCAAATTATAAGCATATTCATTTTATTTCCTTCGAAATTTTGCATTTTAGCCAAATAGAAATGTATGTTTAAGATAGTTTTTAATAGCTTGAATAAGCAAACTTACTTTTTTTGGGCAATCACAAACGATTTTTCGAGTGCACCCTACTTGGCCCTTTTCTCATTACGCAACGGTTTGCTCCTCCGGCCACTTTCCTTTGGTCTCGTCTCACATTGGTAACTTCTCGCAGATATTGTGTCAGAAGTTGGGGCCCATTGTATGATTTCTGGTGTTCGATAAGGCAGAGGTTGCAACTGGCTGTCACTCATTTTCACCCAGCCAATCTGGCCCCAATAGGTAAACAAAGCCAGCCCAGGAACCTGTCCCAAATCAAAATATTAAATGCTAAGCTGAGCGTGAAATTAAAACATTAATTTCTATATGTATTTAACAGTTGTACTTTGGCATATTTGATGTAGATCCAACAGCTCAGCTGGGCCTTATCGCATTAATGATTTACGAGCATTTACCTTTAAAACATAAGCCTAGATATTTTAAAGTAAAGTATGGTATTATTCATTAATGTATGTATTCACCTGAATGCCTCCTGAATTCCCCAACAAAATCCGGCCACGTTTTAATCCTGTACGTCAACTACTTCAGCAGCCACAAAGAAACATTTCCGAGCCATTTCATTCGAACAATTTCTGGTCTACGAGTTGGAGAGCAGCAGAACACACTCATGTACACACACATATCGAGGGAAATATTTTAATTTGTATTTATTTTAATGCTCCAACGCCCTTGTGTTACAACCCACTTCAAAAGCGGCAGGATGTTTGCCACCCCATCCACTCGAATCCCATGGCAGATGGTCCTGCCTCTGATGCTGCTGGGAATTCCTTTGAGCTCATGGTCAAATGATTCTCAGATATTCTTTTAATGCTGCACAAGCGACGCCTTGAGCTATGCACTAACTTTCGGCGGTTAACCTGGGACAAAACACCACCAGCCCAAGCAAATAGCCAAAGGACTCGCACATACACACACACAAACACACCCACACATACTCACCATAATAAACTTTAATGGGCCTGTTCATAATAATAAAATTTCATTAAACTGCCAGAGAGCAAAAGGGAAAAAAAATCCAGTGAGCAGAAGGGCATGGGCATAGGCAAATTTTCGCTGGCAGGCAAATGAAGACGAGTGGTTAAAAAATGTGGTATTTTGGGTGGGCGTGGCATGTGTGAAATTCACCAGAGAAACGCCGAGCCACCTTACCTCCGTTTTTCGGTTCATCTTTGACCCATGCATATGTTGCCCGGAAGGAAGCCAGAAACAATTCAATTACGTTGCAAAATGGCTGCGCCAATGTATTGTGTGTGTATGTGTATGTGTATTGTGTGTGTAGGGGGGGTCCTGAGTGTGATGTGTAATAAAGTTTCATTTTATAGACCTGCCAGCACGTCTGGGCAGCTTTTGGTGACGCCAGAGCCGCAGTCGCAGCCGCAGCCTCAAAAGCATAACTCGTGCCCATCAGACTCCTTTCCCCTCCCCTCACCCGCCTTTCCAGATGCAGCTGCAACAGCAGCAGGAGCAGCAGCAGCAGCAGCAGAAAATGTGGCCCGAATTTTACAGAAGAAGAAAATTGAAAGCATTACTGTGGCCCGTTGCTATTGTACATTTTTTGGCCAAAACTGGAATTCTTGTGCCGAAGTTTTGCAATTGTTGTTGCCTTGCAGCTGTCAGAGGAGGCGCACTAAACACTAAATAAAATTTCAGTTCTCAACTGCGTGAGCAAACACACACACGCACACATACGCACGCATGTCCTTGGGCGCTCTCGCACACACACTAGCTCACACATATGGAAAGGCCCCCTACCCGTTGCGCTACTCTGGCATATTGAACGAAGATTTATTGCAGTGCCAGTGTGTCCAAGTGGAAATAAATCAAATAATTTTCCATGTGGAAAAATTTCAAGCACAAAAAATCGAGCTGAAAATTAAAATAGGACAAAAAAAGTGCCATAGCTGAAGACCAAAACAGAGCGAGAGAGCCGAAAAATAAAAGAAAGTCAAGTGAGGCGCCACCAAAAATTGGACAGGGCGATTGTGTAATTTACTCATTATACGAGTACGCCAACCCTATGTGCATTACGTAAGTGTGTGCGAGAGTGCTGCTCATTTAACATACTGCATATGCATGAAAGGACCTTCTGCCGCTGCTCCGCCGTATTTCTATATTAGCACACAGACACCTAAAGGACCTCCAGCCCCCCTGACCACTTCACCGCCTAACTGTCATTGTCCAGAAATTAACGAAAATATATACACAAACACACAGGGAATGGCGAGAGGAAAAATGCAAAAAAATGGGAAAAAAAGGAAAGCAAAAGGAAAGCGGCGAATAGCGAAAAAGGAATGGCAAGAAAAGTTTTGCATTTCCTCGTGCTAATGTATGTTAATTACAGGGGGATTTTCCATGCGGAGGATTTGCATTTTAATTTATGCACCGAAAAATTTGCGTTTTGCCAGCCACCCCGGCCAAAGTCGTTAAAAGAGGAAAAGCCGGCCAGAAAAAAACAAAAAAAGCGGCAATGGCGATGGGCGAATGGCGAACACTGAACGGCCCGCAAAATAATGGCCAAAATGAGAAGTTACAGTGACGCAATTTGTACACGTCATAGGTGAGAGTGAGTGCATGCGAGTGTAGGGGCATTGGGGCACTTCATTACCCCGGTGCCAAGTGGACACGCCCCAGCACTGCAGCGGAAATTGCTGGAAATATATTTATTTATAGGCCAAGTACGGATACTTCAAGACTGAAGGCCCCGAGCCCTGAGCAATTAAGACGACCACCTGCCGGCTCGCTAATTAGGCCAAGTGCTCGAAAAAATGCAACCTAACTTGAGGGAAACCAATGTAAATTTAAGCTTAAGTGTTATCGTATCTTTGGGATACGGTATAAACAGATCATCCTTCCTACAGACGTCTTAGGGGCTTTTATTGATGCTTCAAGTCGCCCTGAATACCCGAGTAGTTCCAAGGCAAGAGTTCTTAATAAGTCTTTGGAATAACATTGTCCTTGCCCATAAATCCACGCGCTATCGACCTTCAATCAAACAGGCTTCAGCATTTCAAATCTCGCCCGCAAATTGCCTTCGGATCTTGAAATTTAATTATTATGTGCGCCACTCGAGTGGCCCCAATCGACTCACTCCCCCAATAGCTTGGGTGGCCGGAAAATTAGGCCTGCTGCACCCCAACCACATGGAAGCCCCACCATGGGCTACCGCTGCCCCACGATCCGTGTCTGTTCAGTTAAATTAATACAAAGCCCAAGTACATGCACTAATGCTAAGTAGATACGTATACGCAAACAAGGAGTTTTGGGGGCGGGACAAAGCCTACGCTAAGCTAGGCACTTGGAATGTGTGAGTGTGTGTGTGAGGGAGGGGCTGAGGAATGAGTGTGTGCTGGTTAAGCGTCTTACTTAAGTATTTATGTATTTACATTGCGAATATTTAATGGAGATATGCGCTGGATTACAACTACTACTTGTTGATGAGCGCAGGGGCTTTAGTGGGTCGTAGGGATGTGTGAAAAAATGGCACGCTCAGAGGTAACCAAAAGAGAATACTTAAGCAATCAACAACAGCCAGTGGAGCGGAGCTCAGTGTTTTATTTCACTTTAATAAATATTGCATAACGACTAGATTGGGCCAAGCGGGATGTGGAATGTGGAACGTGGGACGTGGCGCCCGAGCAGGCGGCACAGAACATCTAATAAGCTAAAAGCGAGCGTCAAAGCTAATGGCAAGCATAATATTCCAATGGCTGCTCCCCATTGGCCTAAGGCTGAAATTATTCAAGCGTTTCTTTAATGGAGACTCGCCCCAGCGGAAGCGCCCCCCATCGTCCTGCGTCCTGCGTCCTGCGCTCATCGTCCTTCGGCCCTTCGGCCCTTGTGTCTGCGTTTCTGGCTGACTTTCAGCTGGAAACTATTTAAAAAAGCAATTTTTTAGTTAATTAAACGACAAAGACAAGCAAAAGGCAAACAATTTCCCCTCGCACATTGCACCATTTGGCTTTGCCACTGCCCCAAGCGCTGCTCTCCCACTCAGACAATTGGACGCAGGGACAGGACCTCGAGCTGCATCAGCAGTTAGCCACTAAAGTTTGCCAGCCAGTCATTTCTTTTGGCCCAAACCCAGATCGTATATAGCGCATATGTATGTGGACTGAACAATTGGTTTGCCTTGTAGGCTCCTGCTGCGATCCTTATGACTGCCACAAAGTTGCAGCGGCATAAAGAAACCCATCCGCTGCAATCAATTTTAATGGTTTTTAATGAGCAATTGCCTGCAATTGCAATCAAGGCCTAAAGGTTCTTGCAGAATGCAGAGTGAAAAAAGGCTGCTTCATTATAAAATACATTGAATTACTTTTTAGGTTATTTAATGAATTAAATAACTAGCTTTCCTACTTCCAATTAAGAACCTCTACTTACATGTAGCCCATTTTTACTTGGACGCACACCTGAGGCGCTGCGGGACTCAAAATTATTTTTCACAGTACTCTTTATCTGCCGGAACCATACACTACTCGTGCGCTAATGATGCCCAGCAACAATTGCCGGGAAATGCAAATAAGTCGGGGTCCTGTCGCACACAAATTACTGGTCAGTGGAGAGCCCGTGGAGAATGGTAAATGAAGAGTGGCCAGTGGCCAGTGGCCACTAAAATGCGCAACTTTGTAAGCCAGTTTTGCCATTTCCCAGCTATTTGTCGCATTTCGCTTAGCCATTTATTTATTTGCACTCATTTAAAGTGTAAACTGCATTGTTTTTTCCACAGCCCCTGTTGTTTCCATCATTGTTATTAAGAACGGCGTAATCATAGCCGTTGGCTCCGCTCTGCTCCTCTTACCGCCCTTCTATTTATATTTCTATTTTTTTGGCTGAATCCCCCGATGGCTGGTATGCTCTAATTAAGTGCATTTACTCTAATGAGCAAAAATGGCACCAGCAGTAGCAGCAGCAGCAGCAGCAGCAAAAGTAGCTCCAGCTCCAGATGCAGTGGCAAAAAACTGTCACAGCTCCGTGAACGAGGGAAGCCGTGCGTGAAAACTGCCCTCCAGCTGGCGAATGGGGTAGCTTTTGTGGTCTCGGTGCTGTTTTCTCGGAGGTCGACCTCATTTAAGGGCCAAGAACTCAAAACCTTTTAGCCAAGCAGCAATGGCCAAGTGCTTGGCCCGTTCCCGTCCGGTTTTCTCTGCACTCACCCAGCATTTGTCTATGCAAAATTTTGTGACGCTCATTAGTGCAATTTGCATGCATAACGGCAAATATGGCCAACAGCCAGATGAAGCCTCCGGCCTGTCCAGATTTCCAGCTGTCCGTCTATATATCTGGCAAGCCCATCTATTATATCCACAACAAATACACAAATGCAGATACACTGCGGCAAGAGGTACCAATTTAGTGGGATTTGTCTGCGATTTCAGTACTACAACAATTGGTTCTAAGCATTAAAATACATTTCCTTAATATACTCGCACAAAAAGACAAATTTAATTTGCAGTAAATTGAGCTGCTACTTTGTAGTATTGTTTTCCATATCACAGTGTAAATATCCGCAGGCAGTTGAGGATGAGAGTGCCTCGATGCGATGGCCGTTTCCACATTCATCAAATTCAGAGACAGAACAGAGGCATTTGCTCCGTTCATTTTCGAATTCAAATATGTAGACTACAATTTTTGTATTTGCCCAGCTCGTCTGCGCGTGTGTGTGTGTGTGTGTGTGTTTGAGTGTGAGTGTTGTTGGTGCCATTTCGGTTAAAAGAGGAGAGGATACCTCCAGCCCGATTCGGATTCGGATTCTGATACAGATTCAGCGACACTAAGTAAACAGCAGCGCAGCTGTGCCAAAGGATAACAGCACTCGTCGGCTGGCAGGCTTGAAAAATATGCAAATGTCAGCCAACAGACCCCAAAAACTGCACAATCCACATCGATATGCCCCATTGTATCCCACATCGAACAGCAGACCCTCGATCTGTTCGAACGCCCATCACATGCAGATAACACACAAAACAATCCGAATTAGTAGAAAGCAAAACAAGGCATTGCAAAAAAGATTTGGCCATAAGTGAGGCACGGGGCACGCAGCACTTGGCCGAAAACCAAATTCATTTTCAATTAAGAATTTTTCGGCATATCGACAGAAAATGTCCTATGCCTAATGCCTGGCAATGGAAAAACATTTGAAATGCTAACTAAATTACGCCAACTTCGCACACACATTTGCGCATGTCTCTGCATATTTAGTTTTTCGCAATTTACAGTGGCTGCTGCCACTGCCACTCGCCGTCCATATGTATTAGTGCTTGTATCTGTGTGTGCGTGCGTGTGTGTGTGGGGTGTCAGAATGTGGTCAAAATGCCAATTGCAAAACAATTGCATTTTGGTTACTTTGCTGTTGAGCCCGGAATTTCGATGGCAGCCACCTAACAAACACAGCGACGGCTTCCGTTGACACCATCCAAAGATAAAGGGAGTGTGAGGAGCACTGCAAAAAGATAAAATAACCAAATTAGGTACTTGGATAAACAATATTATATTCAAAAATCAAAAATAAACCCCAAAAACTTGAACAAATGGGAGCCATGAAATTGTTATGAGATAAATTCTAATAAATAAACTATAAAACATCGCTAGGTATGGAGCATTAAAAATAATCGTAGTGCTGAAAATTCGATTGTTTTTCTGTGTGCACACACATCTAGACACATCCAATGACAATTAAACTTTAGATTTTAAGTTAAAAGCAAAATATTGTAGCCGACACGCTGGCCATCCTTTTCACTTCTCCAGCTGCATTGCAGTGCGGCGTGAAAATTCAACTGGATTTTCTTTGTCTCCCACTCCGCCTTTTGATGCAATTCTAAAAATGGTTAGACGACAACCAGTTCCGTCATATTCACATACAAATACACACAAACTCGCACAGAGCCTGGAAAAACCGAAAAAGCAATTAAATTGTACACTCGGCACTGGCAGCAGGCAAAAGCCAAGCAAATCAACAACAACTATTACCAAATCCGTCGACAAAAGACACCAAAGGCATCATACAACAATATTATAACATTCGCCATTCGGCCAAAAATACATCAACTAGACACACTCACACACACTCACACACTGGCTCACACAAAAGTTTTTTATTTGTGTGACGCTTGTGTGTGTGACAGTTTGATATGCAAATACGTTTAATTTCGAAAACTAAACTAATAAAAGCTGCGCTGCAATGGCCATTCTGCAACCGAATATGTCTTCTTTTTTACGATGCCTACAAAAAACGCTGTAAAAACATAAACAAATGCGTTTTTTCAAAACTAATGCGTCTAATGTTTATGGCAGGCAAATTGGGAAAAAAATCACTTTTTGTTTTTCATTGCTTAAATCGACTTTTAGCTTAATGGCATAAAAATTCTTCGTGAAATGATATACAAAATTTATATCATATAGTTTTATGGCCATTATTTTTGCTAATTCAATTGCTATATTTTTTAACAGAATTTTTTTCTGCTAATTACATAAATTTTCATACAAAGACATACAAATTCAAAAAAAAAATTTATTTTACGCTTTACTTGATTTATTTGCGTTGAAAATTTTAATTAGCTTGAAAATAAATTTTAATTAAGAACAAGGACTCATGTTTAATATATTTTTTTGGAGCTAATTATGAAACCATTCTGCATCAATTAACTGAATTTGGATAAGTATAACCATTGGATTCCTGCTGAATCCCTTTGAAGCAGCCAATTCATTAGAAAATCTGCCTTCATTTCAATAGCAGCACGACACAAAATGGACTACTGAAATCAAAAATCAATTTATAGAGCCACGACAACGATGAGTTCGCAGGACGAAAATGTTAGGAAATTGCCACCCAGTGATGCGCCGAATATTTCAATACCCACTGATGAATATCTAGATTCGTAAACTACATGCCAAACGGACGTGATCCGTAGAATCACGCGGGTCCTATGAACACAGAGTCGAATGTACGGAATCTCTCTATCCGGCCGTTAAAATCGGCAACAAAAGAAATAGCACATTTCAACGTTTTGAATATGTAAAGGGATATTTTTCACATTATAATAAGAAATGAGGCTGAAGACGCGCCACGCATTTTGTGCTCCAGCAACTCGGAAAAATCCCCTCTATCTCACTCCATTTTCCTACGGCTTCCTTTAAAATGCAGAACAGCTGAAAAATCATATAAACACAAATAATAAAATCGACAATTTGGCAAGAGCCGCACGCACACACGCACAGTAATACATACACATTTACGTGTGTGCGTGTGAGCCTGCAATGAGCACATAACCGCAAATGTACTGCCAACAAAACGTGCCGCGATTCCACAAAAAGACCAATGGGAATTCTCAAAGCAAAATGGGTTAAAGTTACCACTCACACAGAGAACTTTTCGCGTAATCGACTCGACGTCGCCGCTGTCACGGCCGAAATCCCATTGGCCAGTTCAACTTCTTTATGGTAAGAAGGCATTCCAGCTTAGCTCCATCCGAAATTATTTTTCCTTGAATTTTGCTGATTTTTTTCAGTTCGGGACTATGTACATGATTTTATTAAAGATTACTTGAAATGTGTGCAGCAAAAGTTAATCTAACATCTATACTCCTTCCTGTTAAAAGTTCAAAAGTTAAAGTCTTAACAAGAATTTCTTTGAGATTGCTTACATTTTTTTTAAATATTCATAATGTACGAAATATCACTGCTAGCGAGAAAACACAAGTTAATCATTGCATATTTAATTTCTTACTATTTAGATATTAAATTAAAAGATTGTAGTTTATCTTAAAGAAGAGAGAATATTTTTTAGTCACTGTAGACTTTTTCCAAGGAACGAATCAATTTAAAGCCATTCGCAGAAGCTGTTTTGAGGGTGTAGGCCCATCATTTTCTCTTGAATAGTTATGGAATCAGGTTGGGCGCTCGTTCGGCTGCTGTTTCTTCTAATCTCCGCCAGAACAGAAGCTCGAAACAGAGGACACCAGCCTGTCAGGATGCAACCCAGGATCTATAATGGCATAAAAACGACTGTTGGATCGCTTGGTGGAGTCGGAATTCAGCTCTTCTATAAGAGAAATCTCGTCTGCACCGCAACACTTCTCACACCGCAACACATCCTTACGGCAGCCCATTGTTTCGGAAACCTGAAGATGTCTGAGTTCCACGTGATCGGGGGAAAGTCGTGGGAATTTACTGGGCACGACAGCAACCTTAAGAAGAATAAACTTATAAAGGTGCGAATTCATCCGAAATATGCGAAAGAGAAATTCATCGCGGATGTCGCGGTGGCCAAGATCAAGTATCCGTTGAATAACAAGAACGTTGGCTATGCCCAGATCTGTCGATCGGACCTAAGTCCAAATGATACACTCATTGCAGCCGGTTGGGGATTCGAAGGCGGCATCTGGGATGAGCTCAAAAGGAAAACATTTCGCATGATGAAAGTTAGTTTTGTGGGCATGCGGGATTGCCAGAAGAAGCTGGGTGGCAAGTTGCCACCCAATATCATCTGCGCCGGTGGCTACAATAACCAGACTCTCTGCTTCGGCGACTCCGGTGGACCACTGCTGTTGGGGCTGGAAGTTTGTGGCATCAACACGTGGACTTTCGAATGCGGCAACAACGCAAAGCCAGACGTGTACATGGACGTGCGCTACTATGCCAGCTTTATTGAAGAAACTATTAGTGACATGGGCTTTTGAAAAAATCGATTAAAATAAACTTCCATCACACCAACAAAATATGTTAGCTGCAGTGCACCTTTTTGTTAATATTAAATTTATTTGTGTTGGGAAACACAAGACTAGAACATTGAAACCATCTACGCTTACAACTTTGCCTTATCTATTCTATTAGAATTCAAACTGGAATTATGTGAGTGTGCCTCATATCTACTGTCAATCTTATGCAGCTGATAACCTAGATTTTTCTGTTTATAAATCGCGTCCAATTAATCAAGTGGATTCGTTTGATTGACATTCTACAATCTCGGATTGAAGAAGGCAGATGTAGAATGTAGAATGTGGCGCTCTTTGCACCTTAGACTCACGTGCTGTCACCTCATTCTTCGACTCTCTTCTTTCTCTCTGTCTCTTTTCTCTGAGATTTCTGAGAGAGAAAAAATGCAGTGCTGGCGCCTCGCCGGTAAAAATCATAAGAAAAAGGGGGAAAAGCGGGAACACAAAACACGCTGCTGGTGAAAATATCTTGCTCTGTCCCACAATTTACTTAAACCAATGTATTTACGACCTCTGCTCTTCGCGCTCTCTGCACTGGGAGAAATCAGCGAAGATGTGCTCTCATTTTGGGATCGTAATTCAAATAAATATTATCACTAATGAAGAGGATCTCAGCATGAATAAATGGTTCTGTTACTCACTACTTTACCAACAGACTTTTTTTATTTTTCTATTTTTAGGAACCGTTGTCTTAAACTGTACCATCAAGCATTTTCTTACTCAATACTCTTTACATTTTGTAAGAATTTTTGGCAATTGTTGTAAAACAAATGCTTGATCTGTAAATGAAAACAATAACCTGTTTAATAATATAAACCTGTTTAAATGGGACTCTAAAAATGTATACACAGCTGTGCCCAAGATAATAGCAGCACTATTATAACAATTGAATAATTTTTAGGAATACCAGTTACTTTAAAACAAACTTCAAAGAATTGGAATTCATTTCTATTGTATATAAAGATTCAAAATAATACCAAAAATTTAGTTCGCATGACTCAATATAAGCTTATACCGAAAATTACAAAAGACTTTTAAGGTAACTATTTATATGGCTTGTAGATGCAAGCCACTGTTTTATCATTTGTAATCATGCCATTTGTGAAAATAGTTTTTTATTAAATATACAAATTCAAAATATCACCAAAAATATAATTCGCATGACTCTATATAAGCTTATACCCAAAATTACCTTTAGGTAACTATATTTATGGTTTTAGGATTGGAAACCATTGTTTTATCATTTGTTATCACGCCTTTTGTGAAGATATTTGTTCATATGTATTTCTCCGAGTGGACAACTAGTGCGGCCCCCTTTAACCGTTGAGTACTAATTCCCCACGGGTCGCGGTCTCTCGCCATTCATTCAGTTCACGTTGGATTCTCAAAGCGAACGCGCGTCGATCGTTCTGCTCCCGAAAAGCTCTCCTCCGACTCTCCACGGATTCAACCGAATGCGTGACCGATTGTGATTCAGATTCGCCATTCAGATTGACATAGTGGCTGATAATTGCTGATAGTGCGTGTGTGCGTCAGTGTGTTCAATTCAGTTTGGTTTGGCTGACAAAGTTACTAGTTCAATTGCGAAATGAGGGAAATTGTGCATCTGCAGGCGGGCCAGTGCGGCAATCAGATCGGTTCGAAGGTGCGTATAATTGATATTCCATCGGTGTTCGCATCGCAGACCTTTGCTCTATTTTCTGGCCACTTTTCGCTATCCTAACCTCACATGTTTAATTATAAAACAGGGGGAAAAGTAGAAAGAGCGCTTTTCGCCTCTCTCTGCGACTTTCTTCTCTCAATCTCTCTCCTGCTCCCTCTCTCTCTCTCTCTTTTTCGTGGCTTTTCACGTTTTGTTTTGAGTGGGCAACAATTCAAATGGGAGGGGTGAGGGGACTGGGGGCTTGGGGGTGGCATAGATTATTTTGCCACTTCGGTAAACTATAAAACTGCAAAAAATTGGAGAAACCTAACGAACTTGGCACTTATCTTATCGCTCGCAAGATACGAGTATCAGCCACCTCGAAGTATCGCATTCAAATTGCCTTGGACTCGCCGCATAGCGCAGTCAATTAAACCCAGAAATCCGCTCGCAAACTAAGCAAAATCTCCTCAGTCAGGTGTAAACAATTAGCTCGCCGCTCACTGAAGAGCTTGTGATCAGCCGGCTATGCAAATCTACACAGAAAGAAATGTGGAAAAGTAGTTTGCGGAACATGAATGAACTTTATATGATTATTTAATCATAATAGAGTATTTACCTTAGTAATAGAGTATTTACTATAAAAAGAGCAGTTAGTGTTTATAAATTAAGTTGGAGATCTTATTCATTTATTTGGTGCTATAGATTATTTTTTCTGTGTACCTGGAGGTTTCACATTCCAGAAATCTGATCTGTGAACCAAGTATTTCTGGCGGGAACTTAGGGTAAACTACGGCAGCTTAGTGCCCTGTTAGTGGCATTTAGAAACTGGCTCGAAGGTTTCTCCGAAACTTCCGTCTTTTGGGCAATGAATATAGCTAACTGGTTCTGTAAACTAGTACTTTTCATGGGCCTTTTATGAGGTTTGCCCTCGCACAGTTGGCTGATCTTACAGTCATAAAGAACCCGTCCCTCAATAGCAGAAGGTTTCGTGTGTACGTCTAATTGCGGCAGCGGAGCTTGTAAATAATATCTGTATCTTGAACCGATGTATCTGACTCATGGCTGACTATGACAGAGTGGCGGCCTTATGAGTGCGCTATTTTCACTATCGGCGGCCTGTAATCAGTGGGCTTGTGTACACAACTTTAAACATAAGTACTCGAAACTAAAAACTGATATGGGTTGCGCCGAAAATAGCAATTACATAGTGTGTTCTGGTATTTTTGAGTTGAAAAGCGGGAGCATGTTTGTGGGCAATTAGATGAGTGGAAATGAAAACATCGCCCATTCTAAGCTAATTCAGCGCATTAACATTAACTCGCACAATTTGCCGCGTCATGAAAATCCAGCTACAAAAAGTCGTTGACGTTTGACACAATTTTTTGTATTTACAAGTAAAATGCTTATTTCTTTTTTGTTTTGTCTTTTTCCCGGCGTTTCCCAGAGCAGTTTTCTCTGACCGTTTCTCTTTTCTCTCGCGTTGCTCGCTTTTCCTCTTCAGTTTTATGCAAACACATTTCCACATATTTTCAAGCACTTTTTTTCGTGTTTTCACCACTGCCTTTGCAGTTAATTAGAACGCACTTTTCCGGGATAAGCCCCCATCCGATTTTGTACGCCCCCGAATCAGAGCATTATTACATCCATATTTTGCGGGCATTGTTATGGGTATTGTGCAGCTAAAAAATAAATACGATTATTTATGCAATTTGCGCTTATCGAATCTTTATAGATGGCATAAAACTTGTTTGTTGGTGCATTAAATTTGAATATAATAATGGCGAACATATTTTGTTGCTTGTCCTATTCATGCGCTTTTTTATTCACTGCCCGATTTTGTGCCTTAATTGAATGTCCTTTTCTGATTAATTGGCTGTCAGTATGAAATATTGTTGCAGCCTAGAATAAACAAATAATAAATGTGCAAAACTGCCTACATGGCAAAACAGTGTGCACAATGGTGTATGGCGTAAATGGTGAATGTGATTTTTAAATAAATTTTCAAAACTAATTGCTCCGCTGATAAAGGCCAATAAGCAAATAAAAAAACATAACAGATTGATTACACATTAAGAGCAGAGCTTATTCACACATGAATGGTTTGCAAACAGAAAGGATTGTAATTATAAAAACAGAGCTTAACAATTGAAATCCTGGCAGCGTATGCATGTTTTGTACACATAATGTTTTCATTGAATTGAATTGAATTCGATTTTAAGGCAGACTGCTATTTAAGCCATTTTCTTGGCTTCGGTTTAATATTGCAAAATGCCGTCGAAAGCGTCTTCCGGCTTTCCCTTTGCCAACACCCGAAATTGATCACATATGTATCAGGCGAGGCAAAGGCATCTATCCAAGGATATTTTGGCCTGCAGCGAGAGTTCGTTTTTCTTTTTCTTCATTATTTACATAAACCTAATTTTCCCTAAATCATTTTGTGAACAATAACAAGGAAAATCTATTTACGGCATGGCATAAAGCCGAAGGAAAAGCGTTGTGCCACCATGGCGGGGAAAGTGCGGATGAAATTTATAGACGAGGAGCACATAGAAAGCGGAGAAAACGGGGAAATCGGGGAAAACGGAGAAAGCCAGGCAAGAACAGACAATAAAATTAAAGAGTGGAATAAGACAGGCTGCAACGGCTCCTTTGAGCCAATGTGGCATGCTGGCACACCCGTCTACTCCGCCCCAGGATACGTTTGTTTGGCCCATAATGGTAGGGCATCATCGAGCAGCGCCAAAATAATGCACAAAATTGAATTATCGATGACGCTCGCTGGCAGCAGTAATTTCTTTATGGTTACCCGATATCGAGCCGGGTAACTGGGGAATCGGTCGGATTACATTATGGCCCGGCATTACGGCTTTGGCACGTCATAGGTAATGCCCTCGCTCGTATGCAAATGCAATTTTCATGCGGCATTGCATATACATACTCCGATGCTGATGGGTGGACCTGGATAAACAAGCCATCGCTAACTTAGTTGGCATCTTCCATTCAGTTCAGCGCGTTGCCTTCGACAAAATGGTGATGTATACTGCACTTGCAAATTGTATTTCTACGTTCAGTCTTACTGGGTTTTCGCAATCAATGAATGTTGATTAGCAATCGAAGATTGCACTTATGTGGACCGATTTCATTATGGCTCTTAGACGAGGGCCATGGCCAACAATAACTTCAGCAAAATAATCGAAGGGGAAAAAACTGGGAAGAGTGTCGATGGAGAAGTACCACCAAGGGTTAAAACATCCCACTTTTTTCGCCGGCGAAATATTTTTCAATTTACATAAAAATGCGTTTATGCATACCAAATGAGCCGCACTCACACACCAACA